CATTTATTTTATGGTACACCACAGTATCGACTCCTTAAAGTGGTCGGCGTCGGGGGAAGTTGTGGCGCCACGCCACGCAATAGATCGTGTGGTTGCAGTGGTCGATCTGCGTCTGGGACAGCCAACCACATAAACTGTTATTGGCCGAGAAACTGATCAAGTGGCCATTGGCTCACTCTCACAGCATGCTTGGGCATTCACGTCCACGTCACGCTAGCGAACAGACAATCGTGCAGGCCCAGATCTTGCTGCGCGTCGGGGGCTGCTGATCACCACATGGTTTTGTACACAATATAAACCTTTTATTGATCTTTCCCCTTCTCATCCTATACGGAATTGGGCATGACTATTGTAGTGCTCTGAGTACACCTACGGCTTATACCCTTACAGACTCGCCGATCTGATTGAGGAACATATTATGTCCCGTTGTGCCCCGGAGCCTACTATAGAGCCCTCGCAGGCAGTAGCATGCGGACTTGCAGGAGATGATGAATTGGAACCGACAAAGAAATGGGAGACAGGAATTGCCATTTCTAGCTAATTTGCCGTCATCAGTCAGGTATACCTAGCACCAGGGGTAGCGACCCCAGAGTTTTGAAACAGCGACCTTGTTATTTCGACGTCCAACGCTCTATCCACTGCGTCATGGGCTCGTTGCCTTACCGGTGTCGATCGCGTTTATACACAATGGGAAATAGGCGTATGGGTATGGTTAGCTGATGACGGCTTATAAGCCAGAAATGGCCATTTTTGTCTCCCTTGTCTTTGTCAGCAGTGCATTTATGCCTACAATACGCTTGCCATTGAGCGGCTGCTGATGGTGCTCGAGAGCGAGCTCTAAGGCACAAAAGGTCGAGTGAGTTCCGTAACCGATCGGTGGGCGCCTATGTAACATTGTGTATATTCCCGATCAAACGAGCCCATAACGCAGTGGTTAGAACTTTGGACTGCCAAATAACAAAGTCGCGGGTTCAAACCTCGGGGATCGCCACCCCTGGGGTTGGGTATAGTTGGCTAATGACGGCTAATATGTTAGAAATTGTCATTCCAGGTTCGGCATCAGCCTATGGGATGTGTGCAGAAACATTGAAGTAAATTAACCGCGTCCAACAAAGTCTTCTATGGTTGGGTGACGTCTGCGTCAATAGGCGTTACCTGCCCTCGACAGGGCTTTCTTTTGAGGCCGTTTTTGTCTGAGATTAATGATATGAAGCTACTTCGAATATTTCAGTAGCCCGATTTTTCCGCAATTTTCACTTAATTTGTCGCGCGTGCTACAGCTGTATGTTTTTGGCCGTCATCACGTGTGATGTTCATGCTGCTGGGGAAGGATATGGTGTGGCTGGCACATGTGACCTATTGATTTCGCGCGGTGATTAAATGTGCTCGGACACTGTAGGCAGTTGAGATGGGTGCTCCTGACACTGAATCGCCAGTCTTTGTTTAAAGTATTCGCAAGTGACCGACCAGACCGATGCGTGGTGTGGATATAAGGTGTCGATGGGGGCAGCGTATGTTGGAAATTGTACAGTCGTGAAAGAGAAGTTACTAGTGGTGGCCGCG